TGTGTATGTGTGTATCTGTGGGTATATACTGCTGCCTTTCTGTTCCTCTTAGGGTCCTGGGTTCCCTGATGCTGAGAGGTGGAGGGAACCCTGAAGTATTGAATGATTCTTTCCCCTTCTCTGGGCTTCAATTTCCTCTCCTATATAAATGAAGAACTTGAACTCCATGATTTTGAAGGACTCTTTAACTTCATCACTTGCCATATGGTTTAGGAACTTCATCCAAAAATCTAAGTGTCAAGGGCTGAAAGTTGCAGTGGAAGGGACCAGAATTAGACTTTAGAAGGATAAGGTCCCTGACCAGTCCACCCTGGCCTCAGGAGAGTCATGAAGCTCCTAGTCTGAACTAAAAGCTGTTAGAATGAAAGGCTGAACCCAAGGCCCCCATCCCCATGCTAGCCACGCAAGGGGTAGAGCCTCCATGTCACTTGGAGAAAGGGAGAAGGACTCACATCCTAACTCCCCTTAGGACTTTAAGGAGGCACTGGGATAAAAAGCAGCCATCCAGGAGATGGCGGGAAGTGTCCTCAGATTCTACAGTGGCCCCTGCTGGCTCTTGATAAGCAGAAGGGCCCCCACCCTGATAGCCACAAGTCTGCTTATCAGGGCCCCCAGACCACTCCACCCAAGCTCACTCTCTCCCCCAGCCCACACCCTGATCACAGACCCCTCCACCCCAGCCAGGGACCACAGCTACAGATCTCTGGCTGGCTGAGATAGTGTTCTTCTCTACCTCTAGGACCCCTGAGTTCTGTCCATGCTCACCTTTGGACTTCACCCCCAGGGATTAAGTAGAAGCTTAGACAGTGAATGGCATCAAGTTTAGCCCTGACGCATGAAGCCCTTACTCTGGTAAAGGAGCATGAACTATATGTGGGGTCTCTGAGTAGAGGTGGCCTGGCAGGAGGGGTCACAGGACAGGAAAGGGGGTCACAGAGAGGCAAGAATAGACATAATGATTATTCCTCACTTTTGTTAGAAGCACCTGGGTTTATAAATGTTCCTCTCACTTATTTCTCACTGAATTCTTACAATTGGTGAGGTATGTATTACCACCAAAGCTCAGAGAAATGGCACTTTGCCCCCATTCACACAACTCATGAGACAGAGAAAAGGAGGGAGGAAAACTGACATTGGTTCTACACATGGTAGGCTCTGATCTGCGTTTGAGATGAATGCTGTTAAAAAACAAAATTCAACGGAGTAAATTTTAAGGCCTAATTGGCTTTAAAGGATTCATGAATCCCATCTAGCAACTACAAAGGCTCTCAGAGGGGTTATACAAAATGAATGCGTTTTTTTTTTGTTTTGATAGAAGGGTGGAGCAAGGGAGCTGTTAACAAAAGAAAGGATTATTTGGGGGCCTTGACTCTTTTTTGGTGGTGGTAGGGAAGAATGAGTAGTTTTTTTCTGTTTGTTTTCCTTTGTTGATTTTAGAGAGAGGGAGAGATAGAAACATCTATGAGAGAGAACATCTCTCGGTACTCCCCTCCCACACTGGGGATCGGAACTAGAACCTGGGTACCTGCGGACCACAGGAACTGAACTGGGGACTTCCTGGTGCATACTACCCAGCCACACCAGCTGGGCTGGGAAGGGTTTTTACTATGCAGATTGCCTCTTCTTTCTGAAGGATATAGAGGGCCCACATGACAGATGACCTTACTGTGCTTGATCAGAAAATTCCAGACTGGTTGATTATTACATTTCTGGGAAAGGTTGAAACTTTAATTAGATCAGGTAATAAATCTAGGTTTGGAATCATGGGCTTTTAGCACAAGTGACATCATTTTGGGGATGGAGGCTTGGTTCGCTTCACTCTCAGGGTCCACTGACTTTAGTTCAAGTGTATCATACCCTCTCTCCATCCCCAAGTTATTGCCCCTTTCTCTTCTCCAGCATCCTCCGAGTCTCTTTCAGCAAGGCCCCTGCCTGTTTTCTTGCTGTCTTTCCCAGGCACCTCTGATCATCTTCTCTGGTTAGCCATTATCCCTAGTTGGGCCCCAGAAAGTCACCCAGGTCTCCCTTTCCTGAAGGAAATAGTAAAAAGAGCAGGAGCTTCATGGCCCTAGCTGGGTAGCTCAGTTGGTTAGAGCGTCTTCCTTATATAGAAGGTTGTGGGTTTGATTTCTGGTCAGGGCATATATAAGAACCAACCAATGAATACAGAAATAAGTGGAATAACAAAGCAATCTCTCCCCACCCCCCCACCGCTGCCCCATCATATCACCTATGTAAGCATGAGGTGGGTATGAATAGCTCCCATTTTATATATTCGAAGATACTAAAGCTGAGGGCACTTGGTCCAAAGTCACAGAGATGAATGTGGTAGACTTGGGACTGTCACTCAAGGGCTGTTATCTCTAAACCTGGGCTCTGTCAATGACCTTGAGCTGCTTTCAAGAATATTATATGAGCCCTGGCCGGTTTGGCTCAGCAGTTAGAGCATCGGCCTGCGGTCCAGAGAGACCTGGGTTCAGTTCCCGCTAAGGGAACGTACCACAGTTGCAGTTTGTCCCCGGCCCTGGTTGGTTGTGCGGGTGGCAGCCACTCGATGTGTCCCTTTCATGTTGATGTTTCTCTCTCTCTCTCTTCCTCTATCTGAACAAAAAATGGAAAAATGTCCTCAGGTGAGGATAAAAAAAAAAGAATATTATATGAGTCCAGCCAGTGTGGCTCAGCAGTTAAGCGTCGACCTGGTTCGATTTCCATGCCTAAGTTGTGGGCCCGATCCCCAGTGGGGGGCATGCAGGAGGCAGCCAATGGATGTTCTCTCTCATCAATGTTTCTCTTTCATGTCACTGTGTCCCACTCTGTGTGTCCCTTTCACGTCGATGTTTCTCTCTCTCTCTCTCCCTTCCTCTCTCTCTAAAATCAATAAAGGAAAAAGAAAGTGTTCTTGAAGCACACAGTATTTAAAAAAAAAAGATACTCCATGAGCCCTGGCTGGGTAGCTCAGTTGGTTGGAGTGCCATCACATACACCAAAAAGTTGCAAGTTTGCTTCCTAGTCAGGGCACATACCTAGTCTGCAGGTTCAATCCCTGGTCGACGCGTGTATGGGAGGCAACCAATTGATGTTTCTCTTTCACATAGATGCTTTTTACTCTCTTTCTCTCTAAAAATCTAGGCAAACATGTTCTTGGGTGAGGATTATAAAAAATAAACAAACAAATAAGAATACTCTAGAAGGTTTCAGATGTTCAATAATAGGCCTTGCCTGTGGCCTTCAGCGAGCCTATGGGAAGGGGGTGAGATAGGAATTAACTTGTGTGAACCCTTTCAGTTAGTGGGCTGGCACTAGCACCGTGCTAAGTGCTTTACTAGCAGCTAATCGCCTGCTCTCACAACTTTGTGAACTGGGGACTATTATTGTTGCTATTTAAAAAAAATTATTTTTTCTTTATTGATTTTAGAGAGTTAGAGGAAGGGAGAGGGAGAGAGATAGAAGCATCGATGAAAGAGAACATTGATTGGCTGCCTCCTGTATGCCCCCCACTGGGGATGGGGCCCACAACCTGGGCATGTGCCCAGACTGGGGATGGAACTGGCGACCTCTTGGTGCATAGGCTGATGCTCAACCACTGAGCCACACTGGCTGGGCTATTGTTGCTATTTACAAAAGAGAAGAGGGACAGTCCAAGAGAGAAAATGACTTGCCTGAGAAAGCTACACCTTAGACCATTTGCCTTCTCAGGTCAAAGTCTCTCCTTTCCCCCATTACATTGGGTTCAGATCCATGTCAGTCATTCGACGTGAATGTTTTGTCACTACTCTGTGGTAGAGATACACCAGTGAATAAACCAGACCCTCATCATTATTCACTTAATGCAAATAATCATACAAATAAAGGAGGCCATAATGGGGATTTAACTAACCAGGGAAGACTTCTCTGAAGAGGTGACACTTAGACATCTGAAGTGAGAATAGGAGCTAACTAGACAGGAAAGGAGGGAGGATCATGCCAAACAGGGAAAAACATGTACCAAGGTGGCACCAAGAAATAGAACACCTTTAAGGAACCAAAAGAAGGTGGATCTTGCCCTGGTCGGTTTGGCTCAGCAGTTGGAGCATTGGCCTGTGGACTAGAGAGTCCTGGGTTCAGGGTTCAGTTCCCACTAGGGGCACATACCAAAAAAAAAGAAGGTGGATCTCTCCTCCCACTCCTCATCCTGGCTTCATCTGCCCCTGCAGAGGAGGAGTGTAACTGCCTCCTAGAACACAGACCACTGTCTAGGACAGGGCAAGGAGAAGGAGCAGAGATGTGCCCTCCTCCAAAATGGGGGTCTAAGTAATAGAAGCCCTGCTTTGAGGAGTCTCTACCCCAGAAGTCTCATCTTCCTTGGAGGCAGAGAACCAAATACTGCCAGGCTCTCACTCTAAGTGCTTTGATCTTGGAAGAACAGACCCCACCCATTCTTACACAGGTTGTCACAAGAATCTGGGATTCAGCTGCCTTCAAATTTCCCAGCAGAGGACCCCCAACCCACCCATCCAGAGGACCTTGCCATGGCAGAAGTGGGCAAGGGGTCTGCCTGCCTAGGTTTGTGCTCCTTGGGCTCAGCATAAATGTAGACAAGGGCCTAGGGACTAAAATTTAGGCTAGAGCTTCCCCCAGGAATCCAGAGATCCAGCTGTAAGGACCCTCCGTGCCTTATAGAGATTTAACTAACAGTCCCACAAACAAAAAACCCAACCTCCACCAGGGATGACAAGCAATTAAACGCTAAAGGATAGGGTGAGGCTGTTCTTTTTCCTGGCTGGCCCAGCACATAGATGACCAGCTTTATGGGGATGAAAAGTGAAGAGTGGATCCTAGGCTTAGCAAGGTCCATAAGAGTATGTGAGAAAGGGCCTAATAGGGAAAGGGGCTAGTGACCCTCCTTCCAAGGTATCCAGCAGGGAAAGGGTTAAGAGGCAGGACCTCCACCCCCCAAAAAAAGTGCCCCACCCAGGGGAGGGGCCAACAGATAAAAGGAGCACTTGGAGTGGAGAGGCAGGAACAGGGCCTCTCTACCTCTCCAGTCTGCAGATCTGGCTCCAGGTAAGTAGCCCTCCTTTGAGTCTGTCTGTCTGATCAGAGGCCACCTTCTGCCTCATTGTATGATCTCTGCCTTAACTCTGGTGCTGGGTCCCTAAGGCAATCTCAACAGATCCTTGCTCTGCAGAGTTCTTTGGGTCAGTGCCCTCCCCCTAACCCACTTGGGAAGCCTTGACTACAAAATCAAGATGCTAGCCTGGGAACTGTGGAACAAGGATGGGGGAGCTCTGTGTGTCTAGCCCTGACCTGTCCTGCTTTGCCTCCAGACCCTGGCTTTCCCTACCACAGTGCTCTCCAAGCCATGCTCCCTGTGCCCTCTGCAGGGCCCTGGCTGGGATATCATCATATACTGTAAGTTTGCAATGAGACACTACAGTATAGATGATGTACTAGTCCGGGTACCCCCAGCTCTGGAGCCTGATGAAGAGGGCAGAGGATGCCACAAACCCATCATGCTCACCTATCAGCCTATCACAGCCTGCCCACGGACAGGGCACTTGGGAATGGCGAGGAAACCGTTACCATTACTGAATTTAGTAATGGTAACGGTTCTATTGCTGCACCCAGAAAACGTGCCAAGAAGAGACCTCAGGACCATGGAGCAGACTACTGGAAGGGAGGGAAGACTCCAGCTCAGACACAGGGTGGGGGTGAAGAAATGGTTAGGTTTTCTCTTTCTTGTTCTAAAAAAATAAAGGTGAGAACCAGAATACTTGTCTTTTAACTTTATTAACTTAATGATGGAGTGGGAGGGATCAAGGACTTGGGGAGCAGGTGGGAGGGAGGCACTATCTCACACAGGACACGTGGGTCCTTACATGGCTTCAAGGTGGAGGATCTGAGGGGGCAGGAAAAAGATCTCCTCTCAGCTATCAACTGGCAACTCAGGGAGAAATTCTGGGCCTAATGACAGGAGGAAGCAGGGTGGCACTGTTTCCACCAAGGGGCCAACTTCTAGACCTAAGTAGCTGTGGCCCCACTGAGAGGAATTACCTGGGGACTGAGCTAAGGTAGGTCCCTTCCTCTAACACAAGACATGGCTGGGCAGGGGCTGTACAGACTAGGCAAACCAGACAACCAGAGTTAGTCTGTCAGTTAGTATCCATTCCCCTCACCAGTCCCTGCAGGTCCCAGGCAGGGACAATTCTGCTCAGTAGTTCCTGCCAGAAGCTTGGGTTGGAATATCTTTGAAGGCATTGCAGAAGGTGGTCAACTGAGGAGCTTCACAGAGAGGCGTAGCTGCACCTCACAGAGAAAGATGTTCATCAGGTCGCGACCCACCTCATCTGCAATCTGGGAGATCAGGTGCCCCTTCGGACCAATCAGGATCCTCTGAGGGTGGGATAAAAGAGAGAGACTGTGAGCCTGCTCTCAGGGCTCCCAAGCAGTGGGAGAAGAACCCTTGCCTAGTAGATCCTTACTCCCTCCCCCAAGCCTAGCCCTGCTTACCACATGAGATTCTTTGGGCACCAGAAGCTTCTGGACAATCACCAGCTGCCCATTTGGCCCTTCCTCCCACACAATTGTTTTCTGCACAAGAAAACATGATTAGCTAGGCAGGTCCATACCCCTACCTCTCGGACCCAGCTGTCCTACTCTGTCCTACAGGTGTGTGCCTGGTGGAGAGCCCTCAGATCCTTTTCCTGGGCCTGCACCTGCTGCACGTTGTAGGGCACCTCCTGGGGCAGGTGCTCTAGGAGTTTCTCTCGGATGATGTTGGCGCAGATCTCCTCAGGTGTCTGGCTAGTGAGGACTTCACTATGGAACTCCCAGGGTCCTGGCCGGGCCTGTGCCAGGAGGTATTGCTGTGCATAGAGAGGGAGTAGATGAGCATCTCAGTCCCAACCAGGACTTTCTTACTTACTCTCACTTCCAGGAGGAACTCTGAAGCTTGTCTTCACATGGAGGAAGTCAAAGGCCAGGCTATGGCCAAGACTGACCTTAAGTGTTTTCACATCCTCCTGGTTTAGGGCTGACAACATGAAGACTTCCTGGAAGTGGGGCCAGCCAATCCTCTGAGGGCCTCCAACAGACTGTGTGTTTGGGCCCTTAGCTGCTGGGCTGGGGCAATGTATGCCTGCCTGTGAGCGGAAGGCCTGTCTTATCTTGAGCTTCTTGCCATTGACTACACCTTCAGTGAGAGCTGCCGTGAGCTCCAGGAGAACTGATTTCTGCTTTAGGCAATCTACCTGGACACAGGGGATGAGCAGAGGTATGTGGTCAGTGAGATGGAGGTCTTGAAGGAAAATAAACCCCTTCCTAAGATATGTGGTGCTCACCTTGTTCATGACAAGGATGCTGGGGACTTGGGAGAACTGGGTCAAGCACTGAAGCACTTGGGGGCTGAGCTGGTTCCGAGTCCACTTGTCAGAGACATCCACAAGAACCACAACTAGAAGTTAGCAGGTGAGGAGAAGGACAAAAATATGACCACTCTCTTCCTCACCCACCAAGAACTTCCAATGGGTGGGCTCTGGACAACCCCCAAGTCCCAAACTATCAGGAATAAGAGGCCACAACAGTGCAAATTGGGTTTCAGATTCCCATCTTGAGCCTAACCCAGATCAGCAGATTCCATGCTCTTCCATGGATCTTCCAACAAAGAGAGCTCCAGATGGTGCCTGAGGGACAGACATACATAGTTCAGTAAGGGCCTTATGACTGATGTGCTAAGAAGGGATGAGGTATAAGGAGGGTTTTCCAGCCCCTATGATGAAATCTCCCCACCCACTCTTCAATACCTTTCCCCCTACAACACTTGTTTCCATATCTATTACCTTTTCTGTTTAACAGGGCTGATCAGGCCAGGTGTGTCAAGTAGAATCTAAAATCAGGAAAGAGAGATGCCTAGACATCCAGGCCCCAGGAGGGAAGATTATGACTGGGGGTGAGAGAAAGGCCACTCTTGATGTCAGGAGCCTGCTTCCCCCACCCCTGCCCCTCTTACTTCTTGGCCAGGCTCATCTAATTTGCTTAAATTCTAGATGAGATCCAGGAGGATGATGACTGTGAATATACAGAAGATTAGGAGGCAGTAAAGAGAATATGAAACCTTTCTGACTAGATGCCAGAGGGGAAAGGCACAGAGAGAACTGCTCCAGGCCTAACGGAAAAGTAGACCCTTTTTCCTCAGAGAGGTGATTCTAAACATCATTTTTTTCAGGTCTAACACTAAGGGAGGCCCTCTTAGCTTCATCCTCTGTCCTGTTGCAGGTACGCACCACTTGGGCTTCTTCCTCTGTGATGACCCCCAGAGCTTGGCAGCGAGTGGTGTGCACCTTCTGGGAGACAGGAAACACCTGCCAGGAACAAAGAAGTTCCAAGTGAGGTCCCAGCTCCCTTTAAAATAATACATGGAGAGATGAAAAGGGTATGTGTGTGGCAGAGAGCAAGGATGCAGCATACTTTTCGGCCCAGCAGTTGGTTGGAGAGTGTTGATTTCCCTGCATTCGGAGCACCAAGGAGGACCACTCGTAGGACGCGGGGGTTCTCAGGCATGTCGGGGGGATGGACCAAGAGGAGCTCCTGCTCATCTGTGGTTGGGGTCAGGAGGACAATGAGAGAGAGTACAATCTGGATCCTGTCAGGACCACAGTCCTACCCACACACAAAGGGATTAGGGATACAAGATCAGTGTACCAGGTTGAAGCTGAGACCTGGCTTTGAGACTGAGTTTGCCCATTAATTAGTTCATATAACTTTATTAAGTCCTCTAACCTCTCTAAATCCCTTAGTTTTCTCATATGTAAAAGGAAGATGGTATTAATGGCACCTACTTATAACCTTCTTTCAACAATTGGTAATTGTATAAAACCACTCAGTACAATCCCTGGCACTTAATAATACTCAATTACTGTGTGGAACTACGCTGTATAGTCGTGCCTAGTAAATATATGTACATGCGAATACAGAGAGACCAGATAAATCTAGAAATCTCTCCAGCCCTGCTAGTCTCACCCTATTATGGGTGTTACGAAAACTCTGAAAGCTTTCTGTCATTTTTGTTTTTGTTTTTATTAGCTTCTTATGATATTGCATTGCAGTTACTAGTTTATGTGTCCAGACTTGAGTCTATACTACTCCCTACTAGAATAGAGGGTTCTATTTCCCAGATGTAACTCAGTGTCTTGCCAAGTACAGGGGGCACTTATTGGATCCAGTCAGCTTCCCATATGGGGTCAGAGAGCCACAACTCTGACTGGCTAGCCTGTGGTCCTTCAATCTCGTGCTTTGCGGGCGTCTCTGGTTGTGGCCGGATGGGTTCCCTCTGGCTCGAAACTCTTAGAACCTGGTATCTCTCTCCTGTGAGATCCTTCACTGCTCACCTCTTTCGAGGCCTTTAGATTGTTTTCTATAACACAGGGCCAAAAATAATATCCCCAGACTGAGGGTTTCCCCTAACACGGTACTTTCACTGATAAAAATCGTGACAGTCTCGGGCAAATCTGTCTGGGCCCTTTACCTCTGCGCATAGACACGGCGGGGACGCGAGGAGTCAACAAACTGTCGGGCTGAGAGAGTCCGAGGAAGCGATCCAGGGCTGAGTTCTGGCCATAACGCCTAGAAGCCGAGGCCAGGAGGGGACCAAAGAAAGCGGCACCCGCGACACAGGACACACACCTCCGCTGACAGCCCAAGAGGGACGGGAACCGGGTCGCCCACTCCCTCGCGGCGACGGGGCCCAGCTGCCAAAACCCTAACACTGCACGAAGGAGCGCAGCCCCACGCTGGCCGGGGGCAGCCATTACAGCCGCAAAGCACTCCGGGAACTGACTGGGAACTCACCTACGATTGGACCGAGCAGCAGAACGGCGAGCGAGCCGGAGAGAGCTAGATTGACCCGGAGAGGGGTGACGCACTTGGCGTTAGAGGGGGTTCGGGAGGAAATGGTTTGGAGACTGGCCGAGGTCAATAAATGGGAAGAGATACGAGTCCTATACACATCGTGTTTTCTTTTCTGCCAGTTTTGTAAAAGGCTCTTCTAATCCAACCTCGGGAAAGACTACATCTCCCACGAGGCCAAGCAGCAGAAATCAGTCTCAGCGCCTGCACCCAGCGGGAGGAACCCGCAAATCGAAGCAGTAGTGGTCGTGGCCATGGAAGCGGGCGGGCACTGTTACAGCAGTCTCCGTAAGGATCGTTTTAGTCCTCTCCAGTCTCAGGCTTGTAGGATCCTCTCCCAGTCCCACGTTGAATTGGCCTAGCGGTCGGCAGCGGCCTCCGGCAGTCTGCACTTTTACTGCATGGGAGCCTCCTGTAAGGAGCGATCCTGGGTCGGTGTTCCCTAAGAGCTGCCCAGCCCTATTTCCCTCCTGTAAACCTCCGCTAGTATCTTCTCCCCGGGGTCATTCCATTCTGGAGAAAAAGCCTAGGGTCTGCAAAAGGAGAAGCTGTTTAGTCGCCTGGGATCGTCCAGACTGCCTTAGCGGTCTGAGGAACTTGATTTACCTTGGCCGATTTGTGGCCTAAATCCCACTTCATCCTTTGAAGTCTCTCAGTCAGACTCTTGAATTTGAGAGAGAACTGTTGCGGGAATTGTAGGGGACGGAAATTCATTAGGCACATACTATGTACGGGCCAGGGATACACCAATAAACAAAACGGACAAAATTATTCTATTAACTTGCATCCTGGGACTGTGGGTGGGTGGGTGTGATATTAAGAGTGGTCTGGGTAAAAGCCTAAATGGAGTAGGTTTAAAAGAGAATGAGAGCCCTGGCCGGTTTGGCTCACGGTTGGAGTGTCGGCCTGCAGAGTCCCAGGTTCGTTCCCGCTAGGGGCACGTACCAAAAAGAGAGAGAGAGAGAGAGAGAGAGAGAGAGAGAAAGAATTAAGGATAGCCTGAATATATGTACAACTCTTCCCAGAGGGGCAGAGGAGAAGGGAGTGGTAACAGAAAAAGGGGAGAAAGGAGTGGGATTAAGAGAGACTTTTCTTTTTTAAAATGAGAAATTTTGTTTGTAAATGGCAATGATCCAGTAGAGGGAAAATTTTATGATACAGGACAGAGAGGGGAGAATTATTGGAAGATGGTGAAAAACACCTGGCCAGGCTGCTGTTGTAGGAATGGAGGCTGAGTGTCCAGAGAAACTAGTGACACAGGATTGACAGAGCCAGGGCAGCCAAATACACGGATGGTTTGCAAATGGCACCAGGCTCCAGCTTTCAGGCTGCCTGCTCCATTAGTGGAAGGAACAGCTTTTTTAGAACATGATATTCTGGATGTTCTTTGGGCACCCATATGCCCAAAAAACAAGATGCCACTAAATACAGGACACCCAGCAATCAGGAAAATATGAAATCTTTCATGGGCAGTAAGGTGAAATGCATTTCAACTGCAATTAACATAAAGGGAAATTAAAGATTAAGCAGTGAATGAAAAGTTTAATTACATAAATGCAAAATTACCCAAGGAACACATACTAAATACTATAGTTCTGGCAACAGATAGTACTGTGGAAGAATCCCATGGATGACACAAAAATTAGGGGAAATGAATCAAAGTGCCTTATTAATTCTCCTTTCCCAGTAATTTTCCTTCAGATTATATTGTGTGGGAATTTTGTATTTTATGAGGTTAGGAGAGGCTAATCAAATGAAAGACTGCCTGGGTTCATGTTTCAGTTTGCCACTTATTAGCTGTGTGAGTTTGGACAGGTTATTTAAATTATTCAAGTGTCAGTAGCCTCATCTTTAAAATGAAGATCATAAAAAAATATATAGGTTCATTTGAATCTAGGACTAAACACAATACAGGTTCTCAATAAATGTTCCTATCTTTTTTTTTTTTTTTTTTATCCTCACCCGAGGACATTTTTCCATTTTTGGTTCAGGTAGAGTGGGAGGGAGAGAGAGGAACAGAGAGAGAGAGAGAAACATCGATGTGAAAGGAACACATCGAGTGGCTGCCACCTGCACAACCAACCAGGGCCGGGGACAAACTACAACCGAGGTACATGCCCTTAGCGGGAACCGAACCCGGGTCTCTCAGGACCGCAGGCCGACGCTCTAACCGCTGAGCCAAACCGGCCAGGGCTAAATGTTCCTATCTTAAGGCTAATTGTTTTGTACCTTCAGGAACATTGTTCCATAAATTTCTTTTCTATATAGACAATTTCTCCCTGTACTGTATTCGTGTCAGCATTTGTTTTAAAAAATGCTTAATTGCTTTTATCTGAAAAGCAAAAAACCTTCCTGATTCCAAACCTGTTCCAACTGGGTGTCATTTTTTTTTTTCCTCAGCCGAGGACATTTTTCCATTTTTTATCCAGACAGAGTAGGAGGGAGAGAGAGAGAAACATAGATGTGAAAGGGACACATTGAGTGGCTGCCACCCCCACGACCAACCAGGGCCGGGGACGAACTGCAACCGAGTTACGTGCCCTTATCGGGAACCAAACCTGGGCCTCTCCGGACCACAGGCCGACGCTCTAACCGCTGAGCCAAACCGGCCAGGGACATTGGTGTCATTTTTATCTTACTAAAATAGTTCAGTGAAGATGGAGGAGAGAAGCAGATGGATTCCAAAGATTTAAGGAGAAAAAATTGGTTTTGTTTTTTTGTTTTTTTTATCCTCACCCGAGGACATTTTTCGATATTTTGTTCAGATAGAGTGGGAGGGGGAGAGAGAGAGAAACATCGACGTGAAAGGGACACATCAAGTGGTTGCCACCCATACAACCCAAAGAGGGCCGGGGACAAACTGCAACTGAGGTATGTGCCCTTAGCGGGAACCAAACCCAGGTCTCTCCAGACCGCAGGCCGACGCTCTAACCGCTGAGCCAAACTGGCCAGGGCCAGGGTCTTTTGTTTTTTAGGTACGTGCCCCTAGCAGAAACTGAACCCAGGACTCTCTGGTCTGCAGGCCAACACTCCAGCCGCTAGGCCAAACTGGCCAGGGCATCTTCAGGATCTTTGATCTTACCAAGCTCTCATGACCCCAATCTGACCAAGTCACTCGCTTGCTTCACTGCCCTCAGAATAATGTATAATAAACTAATTAATGTGTCTGCAGGTTAATTTGCCAGTCCCATCTTTTGTCACCCCATTCAAGTGAATTTTTCTTCAGCTCAATTGAGTTTTTTCAGTCCTCAAATTGCCTGGTATTCTTCTTTTTTTTTTTTTATCCTCACCGGAGGACATTTTTCCATGTTTTGTTCAGATAGAGTGGAAGGAAGAGAGAGAGAGAAAAACCTCGACATGAAAGGGACACATCAAGTGGCTACCTCCCGCACGACCCAACCAGGGCCGCGGACAAACTGCAACCGAGGCACGTGCCCTTAGTGGAAACTGAACCCGGGTCTCTCTGGACCGCAGGCCGATGCTCTAACTGTTGAGCCAAACCGACCAGGGCTGCCTGGTATTCTTTTACTTGCAGGCTTTTCCATTGACTGTTCTCGCAAGACTAAATTCTCTCTTAGGGCCTGGCCAGTGTGGCTCAGTGGTTGAGCGTAGACCCATGTACTAAGAGGTCACTGGTTGGATTCCTGGTTAGGCCATAGGAGAGATCCCCAGTGGGGGGCATGCAGGAGGCAGCCAGTCTATGTTCTCTCTCAGTGATGTTTCCATCTCTTTCTCCCTCTCCCTTCCTCTCTCTCTAAAATCAGTAAAGAAAGTTTTTTTTTTTTTTAAATTCTCTCGCCCTGGCCAGTTTGGCTCAGTGGTTGAGCACTGGCCTGAGGACCAGAGTCTTGGGTTCGGTTCCCACTAGGGGCATGTACCACAGAAAAAAAAAAAAAATTCTCCCTTAGGACATTTTTTTCCCTCCTATGAATAGGCAGTTTATAATACAGTAAATGAGGATGGATTATTGAGCCAGACATCCTGGGTTTGATTCTCACCTCCATTATTTAGTGTGTGACCTGGGGCAAGTAACTCTACTTCAGTTTCTTCATATATTAAAATAGGGATAATGATAGTATGCTGAAAGGGTTGTTATTAAAAGAACTGATATGTGGCCCTGACCGGTTTGACACAGTGGTTAGAGTGTCGCCGGAGGACCAATGAGTCTCAGGTTCAGTTCTGGTCAAGGGCACGTAACTCAGTTGCAGTTCGTCCCCGGTCCTGGTTGGGGTTGTGCGGGAGGCAACCAGTCGATGTGTCCCTCTCACATCAATATTTCTCTCTCTCGCCCTGGCCGGTTTGGCTCAGCGGTTGGAGTGTCTGGAGTGTCGGCCTGCAGACCAGAGAGTCCTGGGTTCAGTTCCCACTAGGGGCACGTACCAAAAAAAATATATCTTTCTCCTTCTCTCTCTCTCCCTCCCACTCTATCTGAAGATAAATAGAAAAATATCCTTGGGTGAGGATTAAAGAATAAAAATAATAAATAAATAAATAAATAAATAAATAAATAAAAGAACTGATGTGTACAGTGCTTAGAACAGTGCTTGGCACATAGTAAATGCTATGTAAGTGTTTTTTGTTATTGTATATCCTCTACTAAACTGTAAGTTCTATGAAGACAAGGAATATATGTATATATTGTTCACTACTGTATCTCCTACACTTAGAACAGTGTCTTGTACATAGTAGGTACTCAATAGATTTTAGTTTAGTGAGTGAATAAATTACATCTTTCTCTGGATTAGCTCTCCCTTTGTGGCATCAACACGTTTGCAACAGTTCTGGATATTACATTTTCTCATAACCAGTTTAAGTGGGAGAGAACAACAGACTTCCTCAAAAAGAAAGTTATCCTTGTGCATTTTTTGTTTCGCTATGTGCCCATCCCTGAAACACTCATTGTAACTTAGGAAATGTTATGT